TAAACCCTTCAGCTTTGAATCCCTGGCCTTTTACATGGGGGGGGGTTCCGCAAATAGGGGAACCTAAAAGCGTACCCTAAAATAGTAGGATCCTGATAGTACAAAAACCCCAAGACAAGGTATCCCTGACTTTCGGAAACTCCCACATAGAAACTTGCGTTGGGGTTCAGGATTCGCTCCAGCTGCTTTGGGCGGGCTGGGCGAGACTTTCTGGGCTCCATGTCAGCGGTAGATGACTGAATCGACGGCTGCAGCTGGCTAGGATCAGACCCGGATGAAGTCGAGCCGTCGCTCCACGATGGACTCCATCCTCATGAACCGACACGCCGCGCGAACCGAAACACCGTGGTGTGGCGTTCGCGGCACCTGCGGGCCTTTTTTGCAAGCTTGGCTGGGTCGATTTGAGCCTTCGCCAGCTCTTCATCAGAGTGATGCCGCCTCCTCTGCAAGACTCTTCTTGGAGTGCTGACAAGGCGGTGCAGACGCCAGCACTTCGATTCCGTGGGGCGGTTTTTTTTGGTGAAACTTTATGATATACGGCACAGGGCTTGCGATTCGAGCCTTAGGCGTAGGATGGCTTAGAGCCTTGGGTTTGGGGGGGTTAAAGCTCACCTACACTCTAAACCCTAAACCCTAAACCCGAAAGAATCTACCTTTCTTTTAGGGTTCCTGAACGATTATGACTTCCTTATATACCGAGGTCCAGGTGGGGTTTGCAGGCTTCCGGGATGAGGGTCTTCACCCTAAGGCTCCATGTACCTACGTAGTATCTACTTCGGCCTCAAAGTAGTCCATATATACATATTAAATAAGTAAATAAATAGATCGATAGATAGATAGATAGATAGATAGATAGATAGATAAATATATATATATATGTATATACACACACACATATATATATATATATGTAAGTACTTAAGTCGGTAACTATATTGGTGCTTTAGGGGCTAAGTATATCATGTATAAGTACCATGGAGGCTTAGAGACAGGGTTTGTGGTCACAGGTGGTTTTAGGGGTTTAGGGGTTTAGGGGTTTAGGGTTTAGGGTGTGGGGAGAACAGCTTCTAATTGGCATTGGCGCCCCCGGTATTGCAACGGTTGCTTGCGTCATTCAAGGGTTTGCTGCTGTTTGCAGTTTAGCATAGGGGTCCTTGACAACTAGAGTAGGTTTTGGAGAGCAGTATCGTACCAAGATTATCACGACACTCAGGAAGAAGATAAGTGATAATCATGCCTCTACACTCGGTTGATGGGTAGGGTTTAGGTAGCAGGGAGTCGCATCACTTGGGGCATTATAAACTCTACCTATAGTCTCCATTGTAGTTCCTTGTTTTGGTTTAACCAGTTATCCAATAAGGATTTCATAAGGTATCCCCCCAAAAGGGACTACACTGGAGACTATAGGTAAAGTCCGTTTTAGAAATGGATCTCCAAACCTGCGAACCGTTAAACTTGAAACGCCAAAGCCCAAACTCCTAAACCCTAAAACCCGACAACTCAAATGCTGTAAAGCTCGAACCCGAAACAGCACGAACACCCTAAATCCCCCAATACAGGGTTTAGGGTTTAGGGTTTAGGGTTTAGGGTTTAGGGATACCCCCAAACCCGGCAACCAAGCTCCCCCCCAGCCTCATCTCCTCCCTGGCTGGGAGTGAGAAGGGTGACAAACTCGGTGCCTTCAGATCTTCAAACTGTGGGTTGAGAGTTTAGGGTTGAGGGTTGAGGGCCGAGGGTTCGGGGTTGAGGGCTGGGGGTTTAGGGTTGCTGGTTCAGGGTGGAGGGTCGAGGGTTTAGGGCAGAGAGTTGAGGGTTTTGGCTGAGGATTCATGGCTAGGGTGGAGGCTTGAGGGTTTAGGGTGCTGGGTATAGGGCGGAAGGACGCCACACGAAAGCCATGATTGGAGTCTGGCATCTGGGATCAAGGTTGCCTAGCCAAATAATATGGGGCTTTGTAATTCTAGAATAGGGCTAGGGCTTGGGCGGGTTTATTATAATATAAACAGAATTTAAAAGGAACCCCGAGGAGGAGTGCAGGTAATTCTTCAGGCTTCGGCATTACAGTCAACCCAGAAGCTACTACAACTGGAGCAGCGCCAGCCTTTCCAAACCCTGGTGGCGGGAGCATTTCTGCGTTTTTACAAGCAGGATCTAGCAACTGCTATGCAGGCCCACCTGGAGTTAAGAACCCCAAAATGCAGAAACCCCTGAACCCGAAAGTCCGAACCCGAAAGTCCTCTAAACTCTTAACCACTGAAGCCCCAAGCCCCAACGCAGGTGCCCTGGACCATGAAGCTCTAAACCCTAAATAAAAAAATCTCTGAACAAAAACCTTCACCCTAAACTCGAAAGCCGGAACCCTACATGTAGACGATGTTGGGGACTGATCTCAGGTGTCCAGGGCTCCAGGTGCGAAGTTGTGAACCGACAAGGCTCAGCTCAGTGGGCCGTGTGGATGGCTTGTGCGTCATGTCCACTGGACGCCAGGATCCCGATCTTCAAAGCTGCTGCTGCTGCTGCCGGATATTTAAGTACGGAGCTAGTTTTGGGATTGTTCAATAATGCCGTAAACACTCTATAGCAGGACGCCGCCTAAGGGTCACTCAATCAAATTCAAACTGTCCAAAACCCCTAAACTCTAAACCCTTCCGCCAACTCCTAAACCCCGAGATCAAGACAAGCCACAGGCTATACGGCGGCGGTCTGCGTCCTGCGACGTACGGCCGTAAGTTAAGCCCTAAGGGTCCGTGTACCCATACTAGCATATACCCATAGGCCATAAAGTAGTTCCTTTTTGTGGTTCATGTATAGAATCCTATAAGGTAATCCCAAAAAGGAACTACTGCAGTATGGGGCCTATGGGCACTTCGGCCCGTACCTACCTCTAAAGGGACGACTTTTTGGCCAGAGGATGTCCTTTGTGGGCACATGGACCCCTACTTAAAGGATCATGGGACTTAGTAAGTAAGGTTATAACTAAGGTAACTATACTTATCACCCCAATTAGGGGCCTTGCAACCTTACTTACTAAGTCCCATGGTCCTCCAAGTAGGGAAGTGGTAAGAGAACCCAAGGAGTCTAGGCTCTTCATACTCGCTGGAGGCTTGGGACATGAGAAATATTGGGTTTAGGGTTTAAGGTTTAGGGGTTTGGGGGTTAGGGGTTTAGGGGTTTAGGGGTTTTGGGGTTTCGGGGTTTCGGGTTTCGGGGTCTAGGGTTTAGGGTTTAGGGGTTTAGGGGCCTAGGGGTTTAGGGGTTTAGGGGTTTAGGGGTTTAGGGTTTAGGGTTTAGGCGTTTAGGGTTTAGGGGTACCTGGACCCCAACAGTATGCAGAATAATAGCCTTTTATGGGTTTTGGGCCATTATTTTACCTACGTTTCGGGGGTTTACAGTGGACATTGGTAGTACCTTTTGCCTGTTTGTTTTTTCTCAAACTGAATACCAGGAGAAAGGGTACCCTTATTCTTAAAAATGACACTGTGGGACCTAGTTGGCTCAAACCTACTTGAGAAGGATACAGGTGAGGTATATTGTTATAATAAATACTTCTAACCCCAATATAGGTACTTTAACCTTACTTACAAGTCCCATGATCGTCCCAGTACAGCCTAAGCCCTACACCCGAACCTTCAAGCCTCCTCACGGCCTAAATCCTAAACCCCTAGTTCCAAGAAGCCCGACGCCCCAAAGCCGTAGCAGTGCGCCCCCCACCCCTCCACATCACCGTCAGGAGTGTACTCCGTAGGATCCGACAGCTTGGGATCAGGGTACGTTTTCGCTGGGGCTCTTATGCATTCTGCGCACACCTGCAAGAGTTCTCCAGCACCTCGGCTGGAGCTTCCTCTAATTGCCCTGCAGAACTGCCATTCCTCTACCGATGCAGAGAAGAAGCAGCTCGTCGCCACGTACTTGGAAAAAGGTGGACTCAAGAACCTTTCGTGGGTGCATTAGTATTTTGAGAGCTCCAGCTCTTAGCAGACTGAGTGAGTCCGGGCCAAGAAAGGCATGTTCACAGCCGCAACAATCCTCGATTTCAATGGCCCTACCGTGGGGGTTATCCTGAAGGAGAATCGTGCCGATGTTCCTAAACCCTCAATGGGTCTACGCGCAAGCTGCACGGTGGCAGCTCGCCTCTGATAGGGCAGCACCCTAGTGGCTTCCACACAGTCACCCCGATATTGCGGCATCTCGCAACGCCTCGGCCTAATGTAGACGCCCTAATAATTACCTATACCATTTTGGTTGTTTCTTTTTATTTCTTACTATAAATGACCCCCAAACCCTATTCTAATTATTAAGGCCCCTGCATTGCAGCGGACTCATAACCATATTGGGCCGGCGGGTGGCAAGCTCATGCCCAAGTAAGGTTTTTTTGAAACTCAATGGTTAATTAGCATTTGGGGTCTAGTAGCATGGTTGTTATGGATCTTCAAACTTCCGGTTTATGGTAGCAGACTGGCATGCTGAGATTGATTTCACACTCTCTTTGCTTGCACGAACCCTAAATCCAAAACCCTGAACCCCAGAATTAGACTCGTGGAGTTTTGTGGCCAGGCTTTATGGCATGGTTGTCCTAAGGCCCTGAAGCCCTAAGCCCTAAAGCCCAAACCCTCAACCACTAAGCCCTAGACCCTAAATAATTACCTACATGTATTTTGGGGGTTCCTTATTATAATTACAGCATAATGGGCCCCAATTTACCCTGTTCTAATTATTAAGGCCCCTACATTACCCATAGGCCCCATATAGTAGTTCCTTTTTGGGATTACCTAATAGGATCCTAAATATAAGCCACAAAAAAGGGACCTACTATGAAACCCCTACATTAGACGCTCCACATCGGAGCCCTAAACCCTTGTAGTATCCCTTCAAGGAACCCTTTGAAGGAACCCCCAAATCCTGTTCTAATTATTGAGGCCCCTATACCCCTAAACCCTAAACCCTATAGCCTAAGGAACTACCATGAAACCCCTACCTTACTTAGACGCTCCACAGCGGAGGTCATGAACGTCCTCAGCCGCCACGCCAAAGCCCCCGTCAGCGAGTTCGGGGCCCCCTCGGGCGCGCGCAACTTCCAGGCGCTTGGCGTGGCTTGTGGCGTAATATAGGGGCCTGAGTGTTCTGGGGTATATTTACAGTATATTTACAATAAGGAACTCTAAAATAATATAGGTAATTGCGTAGCCCTAAACCGCAAACCCTAATTGGTTCAGGGTTTTAATTAGGGCTTAGGGTTTAGGGTCCTGAACCCTAAAGTCAAAGCCTGAAGCCACAAAAACCCCGTAGTTAAATCCTACTTGGGTTTTTGGGGCCCAAGGCACGTGAAAAGTGCCAAAGCCTGCAATGTCGGGGTTCGGGTCTCAGGGTTGAGGTTGAAGGCGTCGGGTTTAGGGTTCAGGGTTCAGGGATTAGGGTTTGGGGTTCAGGGTTTAGGGTTCAGGGTGTTACTGTAGTTTAAGGTTTAAGTTTAGGGTTCAGGGATTAGGGTTTGGGGTTCAGGGTTTTGGGTTCAGGGTTTTACTGTAGTGTTTAAGGTTTAGGGTTCAGGGATTAGGGTCGAGGGTTCGGGGTTTACCGTAGTGTTTAGGGTTTAGGGTTCCTTGGTTTAGGCTTTAGGGTTCAAGGATTATCTTAGGTGTAGGGCTCAGGGTTTGGGGGCTAGGGTGTGGGCTTGAGTTTAGGGTTTCGGGTCTTTGGCTGCAGACGTTCCGAACACTTCGAAGCTGAGCTCTTTCAAGGAGTGGGTATCGTTTTTTGAAGGTCGTGGGGAAGCCCTAAACCCTAAACCCTAAACCCTAAACCGTGGTTGGTTTCAGGGTAAACCCTAAACCCTAAACCGCAGGAGATGGCTCTGGGATTCACCACGGACATTGCGAAGAACAACCTGGGCGAGTCCTTCTACAGGCCTGGCATGTGCTAAGCGAGGCTTCAACCTTGGCCCCCCCAGGCTACGGTTTAGGGTTTATAGGGTTTCGGGCTTTAGGGCTTATAGGGTTTAGGGTTTTGCAGGGTTTAGGGCTTGTAGGGTTTAGGGCTCGTGGGGTTTAGAAATTCGGGTTTAGGGTACACCACCCAAACTCCCTAAACCCCAGAATGTAGACGCGTTCGTTCTAAACCTGCAGCATGAGACCCCAAAGAACTTCGAGCTGAAGAGCAAAGGCTTGCGGATTCAGGGTTTCTTTCATGCTCGGAGGCAGGATCTACGTACCCTAAAACCCTAAAACCCTAAACCCTAAAACCAAAAACCGTACCCCAAACCCTAGACCCTGAAACCCTAAACCCTAAGACCAAAAAACGTACCCCAAACCCTAAACCCTGAAACCCTAAACCCTAAAGCCAAAAATCCCAAAGCCCTAAAGCCCCAAAGCCCCACACCTTGAAAGCCCTAAGCCCTAAGACATTGTCATGTGGCTAGTTACCATTATAGGAGCCTTATAGAAGGTCTATATACCTTATGGAAGCCTTATAGCCTATACACCCTAAACTCCCTAAACCCAAACCCTAAGCCCTTGACCCTAAGCTATTGCTCTTCGGCTGGAGGTCCCCTTCGTAGGGCGCGGGTGATACGGTCACCTGAGTGGGTTCAGGGATTTAGGGGTTTAGGGTTTAGGGTTCAGGGTTTAAGGGTGTTTAGGGATTTGGGGTTTAGGGTTTAGGGGGTTCAGGGTTTTAGGGGTTTATGATTGGATTTCGAATTTATCTTAGTCTAGCTGAGAAGGTAACCTTACAGAAAATCCTACAGTCGCTGGAGAGGTGGACCTTTGGCCAGGGTCATGACTCAGCCCCTCAGTCAAAGTTCTACTAGATACCCCCAAACCCTAATGGATTTCCGGGGGAAAGGCGAACGAAGAAGTCTGATCAACAGAGGAATGTAAGAATCTCAAAGATGTTGATGGCGGCAAGAAGTACGAGGAGAACAGTCATCATGACAGGAACCCTAAACCCTAAACCCTAAACCCTAAACCCTAACCCTAAACCCTAAACCCTGAACCCTAAACCCTAAGCCCTAAACCCTAAAGAGGAGGACGAAGATCAGCAGGAACTCCCGGTCAAGAGTTCCACGGCCGTCTGCATCGAAGGAGCCGGCCTGAAAAGGAAGACATGGCAGCCTGCCATGCGGGTCGTCTCCGGCTGCAATTCTTTGAAACTGAACAAGTGGGACCGGTATCTAACACAATTCGTCACCGGGAAGGGCTTAAGGTTGCACAGCACAAAGGAGCACAACATCAACAAGCCATGGTTCGACACCATGCAAGACCTGAGGAGGGCAGCTTGCCAGGAGTCCTTGAAGCGAGTGATCGTTCAGGCTGCGGAGGCGGAGGTAACGCCGATCCCGTAGAAGTTCCCAGCTACCCAGCAGGATGAAGACCCGGCCGGCCGGACCGTGCAGGTGCCAGGCCCCAGTGGAGGACAGCTGGGGATGCTGTGGGCATCAGGAGCTCCGACCTTTTGGGTTTGAGCTCGCGGTAAACCCATAAACCCCTAAACCCCTAAACCCAAAACCCTGAGCCCCTAAGCCATAAAAACACTAAACCCATCTTGCGATACATCGCTGGGCGACCTCGCACTCGGCAGCCTCAAGAGGCGGAAGAGAGGCCCCGAAGCCTCGTGCATGACATGCTTGGCGGTTCATGGGTAGTTATAAGTGCGGTTATAAAGTAGGGTAACTATAGTTATAAGTTATAACCCATATTAAGGGACTTATAACCCCACTTGTAACTACCCATGAACCTCCAAGTGAGCTCTGGGACATGTCCCATTTTAGGGGGTTTAGGGTTTAGGGTTTAAGTTGCATGACATGAGCTCTTGCACATCGCAGTTTGGACCAGAAGATTTTTGTAGCTTCGTGCTCTCTGTGCTCTAGGTTTCGTCCTGCATGAAGCGGGGACCGCACTAAGACTGCTTGTGACAATGCTATGCATACCAGGAGTTACACAAGCAATGGTGTGCTAATGCCTGTTATGCAAGATCTATATACCCTAAATGATCGAAAGAAACAGAACCTAGACGGGTCAATGTCCCGTAACCAGCGAAGATGACCTGATAGGATCCACGAATCCGAATGCAGTTGCGCGCCCGATAGCAGCAGGATTATCAGTTCTA